ATACTCGTATATCCATATTGGCATAATTAATCACTGCTGAACCAAGCAGTGTGCATATGATCCACAGGATGCAAACTTATTTGTTTTTTCCTGCCATAAGGGTGCTATGGGTATTTTTCTTACCTTCAAATTCTTTTCCATCTCATTACTTCTGCAGAGGACGAAGAAAGAGAGCAGCTTGCCAAGGAGATGTCGAAGGATTGGAATTCTAGTAATTTTATATTTTCTTCTAGTTTCTTCACTGTTTCCTTTTAAATCTTTTTCAGTTGTTCGTTCTATTAGGTTTGACGGTTGTTACAAAAATTTATTTCTTGGCTCTTTGTAGTTTTTGAGCGTAGCATAAACACTCTATTTCTCACTGAAATGGTACGGGGTCTGATGCTGACTCTTAAATACTTCTTTGAGAAAAAAGTCACTGTAAGTGTCTTTCAAACAACTTTCTGTAGCACTAAGCTAAAATTCTTGTTGATCCTGATTTCTGATTATTGTTCATGTATCGTGTAGATCAATTACCCATTTGAGAAAGGCCCACTAAGTCCTCGCTTTCGAGGTGAGCATGCCCTCCGACGATATGCAACTGGAGAAGAACGATGCATTGCATGCAAACTTTGTGAAGCTGTAAGAATTTGGATCTATAATTTTAAGTTTTAGTTTAAATCATTTTGGTTTGGACAATATATTTCTACAACAAAATGTTAAAGAAGTCTGTAGCACTATAGCTTGGTCATTATTTTACCATCTCTTAATGCATTGAAGCACATATTGTCATTTTTAGTCAAGTTGAGAGTCGTACAAGGATAGAATGTAGAACGTATGTAAGGTGATCTTGACACGCCATTAATTCTTGACTTAAAAGTGTATTTGAGAGGGGTTCCTTATATCCTTTGGGAATTAAACTTTATATTCAGACATTGCTGGTTCTATGCATGGGAAAATGTGTTCTTTAAGATTATAAGTGTTTAGTGTATACAGCCGCTAGTTTATGCTCTTTTGATCCATAAAACTCATGATTTACTAGGTAATATAGTCTCAAGGTCTTTAGTAGCCATGTTGTTTCTTGTCTTGATCGCCTATTATTAGTTTCTGTGATGGTTAGAATTCAAGTTTGTAGAAATGGTTACTTTAGGGTGAGTTTAGGATGCATTATGAATGAAATGGTTTTAAGTGAAGCACTTATCTTGTTTACATAATATGTTAGCCGGCCATGGTTGGAATACTTTTGGTTTTTATTTCTTAAACAATTATGGAGATAAATTCGATATTTTAAAATGGGCTACATTTGAGCATAAGCTTAGCTGATCATTACTTTGTGTTGTGGCTTTGAACTTATGCTCGTTATTCGATTATTCTATTGGATTTTCTTGTTAGATTTGTCCTGCCCAAGCAATCACAATTGAAGCCGAGGAACGAGAAGATGGTAGTCGTAGGACCACAAGGTGATCACCTCCACAACATCTCTTTATTCTATTATCGGTATCCCTAATTAATCTTAATTTTCAGGTATGACATTGACATGACCAAATGCATCTACTGTGGATTCTGTCAAGAGGCATGCCCTGTTGACGCCATTGTTGAAGGTCCCAACTTCGAGTTTGCCACAGAGACTCACGAGGTTGATCTTATTACATTTTGAATGTTATGGTAAGCTACCAACGTTGGTGATGAATGTAGGCTCATACTTTCTGTGATTTTGTAGGAGCTTCTCTATGACAAAGAAAAGTTGCTTGAGAACGGAGACCGCTGGGAGACTGAGATTGCAGAGAACCTTAGATCTGAAAGCCTCTATCGCTGATACATTTGCCAATGGTGCACTCTGCATTTAACTTTTCTTTAGTGCCATTCATAATAAGATAAACCCGAGCATGTTGAAATTATTTTGTGTTCTTGGTATACATGAGTTGAGAACTTAGTTCTTGCTTCTTACTACGTCCCAAGTTTGGGATTTTTCTGACATCTTTTGTTTTTCTTCCCAATAAAAATGGGAATGGTATGGTTTCTCATGGAACAGTCGTAATGTAGGTAAAATTTGAACAATGTCACCATTATCTCACCAATGTTCTTCCAGAAAGCATCAGAAATGTGTCAATTTGATTAACAAAGTTCACTAGACTACATTCCTTAATATTCGATGCTGGAGAGAAATAAGATTGTCTAACCAAGGCTCGTACTTGGAAGGTTTGGTATGAAGCATATTATATATAAAACTATTTAAGGGCTCATCTTTTCTTTGTACCAAAGACCTTGGTCCTTGTGTTCTCAAGCTTTTAGTTCTTGCCCCTTTAAACATTCCCCTACGACACTTGTGGGGTCTTATGGTTAGTGAACAACTCGATCTGAATGTATGCCCAAGAATGTCTTATGGTTAGTGAACAACTCGATTTGAATGTATGCTCAAGACTTCATGCGTTTTTTGTGATATAGTATGATACCCGCATCTAGGGCACCTAGGGCTTCATGCGTTCTCTAAATACCTACGACCAATGCTTCATGTTCCTTGTGCGTGTGCGTAGTGTTTGCTATCATAGAACCATGTTACACTACACAGGTCTTTAGGGTATCTTAGGTTGGTACCTAGTTGTCTTCTTATCATGGTAGGCTTAGGGCTTGGGTTGTGCATTCTTAATGTGGTCCTTGTTTTTAAAGCATCATCTTAGATTCTTAGGTTTCTTGGGTTGTAGCCCTAAGAGTTCTCTCCTCCGTCTTGAGGCAAAATCAAACCAAAACCTATTGAGTCACAAACATTTATTTACCCGCATAAATCTTTCTTAAGCATTTTGTCTCTTGGTATCCATAAATGTCTTTAATATAGTTCCATTCTTTTTCTCATGGTTCATATACCAAATATATTTTAATCCCCTCGTGAGATTTTGCATGATTACCCTTATAATCATAAATGAACCTCATAAAGTTTCATAACATTTGGAGTCCTTTAAAATCTTGAGACATTTCATAATTCTGTTAGTATTATTTTAGTTATTTATCATCCATAACATGTTCTAATGATCTTGAAACTTGCATTAATTTCTTTAAACCATGAAATAAGACTCCTTACAAAATTTCAAGTCATTTAGAAGCCACTTGGGTTTCAAACCAATGGTGTGTAGTTATAGGGGCATTTTGGTCATTTTACACTTATACTTGGGACATTTTGGTCATTTTACACTTATACTTGGTTTAGCCACTTGCAAAAGGTCCTCACAAGGTACAAAAGAGTAAATCTCAACAATGCAAAACATTAGAGACGTTCACAAAGAAACTTTTCTTTCAACTTAATCTATGTGTCAGTTAAGGTCGAGCTAGACAGCTTAAGCTAGGACAGACATGAGTGACCGACCCTCCTTCCAAAGAAAATTGGATATCTATGTATCATGTGTGTACAGCATTGGGAGCATTGGGAGGTGGAAGTGCAGAAGAGAAGTATGATAGGTTTATAGACTGAACTTTCCTTCTCCAACAAAAGAGAATTGGCTTATATTCCAAAAACTACAAGAAACAAATGATCAATTACAGAAAAAATGCAAGCTAAAACCAGCTCAATCTCAAAGTGTGCTGTGTTATTAACAAAGAATCAACACCAAACCAATGTCTCCCTCCTACTTATTCTCCAATCTTTCCATGTCTTGAACTTCAGCTGGTTCTGGGAATATCTCCTTCGAATGTCGTCGACGAGACGACGAACGTTCGCCGCCACCATTCCGATCACTTCCTTGCGAACCCATCGTTCCTGATCGTTTGAACCTACTTCCGCCTGCTTTAGACAAGGAGGCTGATGGAAGCATTGTAACATCCGAAAGGCTCTGGTGCCAGCTATCGAACAAAGAAGCATTCCAAGAACTTCCAATGGAAGTTGATCGAAACTGTCTCGAGCTCGAATTCTCTTCCCTTACTACCTTCAATGGGTTCTCCAAAGCCTTGAGGATGTATTTCATCACGGGTCGCCTCGAAGGTTTCGGATTGAGACAGGACTTGGCAACAACAGCCACTGCCCACGCTTCTTCCAACAGATCTTCGTCCACGATCAATGACGGATCCAGGATCTTTGTCACGAGTTCCTTGTTGTTTATGCTGATGCAGGGTAAGGTCTGATCTAACCATTCGCTGATTTCGGTATCTGGGACGGCACTGATCCCGAGCTTTCCTGTTACAAGCTCGAGCAACACCTTTCCGAAGCAATAAACATCATAGGTACAAACTGCTGTCTGCAAACCTGGTTGTTAAAAGGGATGAATTATTCTGCTACGCATATAATATGGAAGGACGTTGTTTCAATTATGTTATTGAGAACGTTCAAATGGTTACTTTAAGGTTGAATGTTATGACTCAATTCTCAAATAGAGAGAAGCAAAGGAAAATAATTCTCCAATGTTTAGGCAACAGTCGGACCGTTTCATAAAAACGCACAGATCAATACAGTCCATATGGGTCCAACTATCATTGTTGATGCTCGAACTTCACCCTATCCCTTAGATTTAAGAACCAAGAGTAACAACCCAAGTCCACCGCTAGTCGATATTGTCTTCTTTGGGCTTTTCCTTTCAGACTTCCCCTCAAGCTTTTTAAAAAGCGTATGCTAGAGAGAGATTTTCACACCCTTAGGAATGCTTCGTTCCCCTCTCCAACCGATGTGGGATCTTACAATCCACTCCCCTTCGGGGCCCAGCGTCCTCGCTGACACTATTTCTCCCCTCTTCAATTGATGTGGGATCTCACAATCCATCCCCTTTCGGAGCTCAACGCCCTCGCTGGCACTTGTTCCCCTTTCCAATAGATGTGAGATCTCACAGTCCATCCCCCGTTGGGGTTCAGCGTCCTCGCTAACACTCATTCCTCTCTCCAATCGACGTGAAATCTCACAATCTACCCCTCTTCAAGGCCCAGCGTCCTGGTTAACACACCGCTCGGTATTTAGCTCTGATACCATTTGTAACAGCATAAACTTACCGCTAGTAGATATTATCCTCTTTGGGCTATTGTGAGATCTTACGTCAGTTGGAGAAGAGAACAAATTTTTTTTATAAGGGTGTGGAAACCTCTCCCTAAGAGACGCATTTTAGAAACCTTGAGAAGAACCTCGAAAGGGAAAGCCCAAAGAGGACAATATCTGTTAGCGGTGGGCTTCGGCTATGACCTTTAGACCCAATTCAAGCTGAATTCTCCTTTCAAGGGTATTTTCCTCCAAATGAGAACAATTCAATATTGACATGAATCACAAACTGGTGTTGGGAAAACAATTATAAACACGAAAATCGAACTAGTTTTCTACGTACCTAAAGAGGCCTCCTCAGATGACCTGCACATCATTGAGAGAAGAGTATTATCAGAAAAATAATGTAAGAACATTATCATACAATGATCAAAGAACTCAAACAGAAACAGATATCACAAATAGAGAACAGACAATGATAAGCAGATTCATGAGTTGAAAAGGTACTTACTGTGGCAATCTCAGTAGCTTGGTACTTCTGCTCGGTTGGGCTTCCCCTTGTTGGCCACAGACATGGCTCAAGCTTCCAAGCCGGACTTCAAATTTATCATCAAGGAGTATGCTACTCGCTTGAACATCTCTTCATTACCAAAAGAAAGCATTGTTAATATTTTTATTGTTAGGATGCACATTAAGAAGATATTGTTCGTTTTGACTCGTTATGTATCGTTGTCTGTCTCACGGTTTTAAAACGTGTCTACTAAGGAGAGGTTTTCACACTCTTATAAGGGATGCTTCATTCCCCTCTCCAACCTATGTGGGATCCTCCCCCTTGAGAGTCAGCATTCTCGTTGCCACACCGCCTGGTGTTTGGCTCTAATACAATTTGTAACAACCCAAGCCCACAACTAGTAGATATTGTCTGTTTTAGCCTGTTACGTATAGTCGTCAGCCTCATGATTTTAAAACGCGACTACTATGGAGAAAGGTTGTGGCAGCCAGACACCGAACGGTGTGCTAGCGAGGACGTTGGGCCTCCAAGGGGGGTGGACTGTGAGATCCCATATCGGTTGGAGAGGGGAACACCCAAAGGTATGGAATCCTCTCCCTAACTGACGCGTTTTAAAACCGTGAGGCTAACGGCGATACGTAGTAGGTCAAAACGGACAATATCTGCCAGCGGTGGATTTGAACTGTTACAAATGGTATCAGAGCTAGACACCGGGCAGAGTGCCAATGAGGACTTTGGGCCTCCAAGGGGGGGTGGATTATGAGATCTTACTAATTGGAGAAGGAAATGAAGCATTTCTTATAAGGGTGTGGAAACCTCTCTCTAGCACACATTTTAAAAACCTTGAGAGGAACCCCGAACGGGAAAACCCAATGAAGACAATATCTGTTAGTAGTGGGTTTAGAAGGTTACAAATGGTATAAGAGTCAGACATCATAGTGAGCCAGATGCTGGGCCCCAAGGGGGTGGGATTGTGAGATCCCACTAGTTGAAGAGGGGAACGAAGCATTCCTTATAAGGACGTGGAAACCTCTCCCTAACAGACGCGTTTTAAAAACTTTGAGGGAAAGCTCGAAAGGAAAAGCGAAAGTACCTATGCACGAGAGGAGGAGTAGAATGATGATGCAGAAAACAAAGACCCTCAGCAGCTCCTAATGCAATTTTAAGCCTTGTAATCCAATCCAACGACTGCAAACACTCCTCATCACTCATAACTTTCTTGAACAACGAAGCTGATAAGTCACCATTTGGGAGAAATTTATACACCAAAAACTTCTCATTTTCATTCTCCAAGCACTGACCAATAAAAGGAACCAATCTTATATTTGAAACATTACTCAACAATTCCAATTCCACCAAGTAACCATCATTAGCTCGACGCAAATCGACTCGTTTGATAACGACACGAATCCCGTTCTGCAATACACCATAAAAAAGATCCCCTGAATGACCATGTTTAAGAAGGTTCAAATCACTAAAACCATTACTTGCTTGAACCAACTTGTCATACTTGAACGTTTCTCCTAAACTTGCATAATCAATCAACAACCGAGGAGTCGGTTCGACAGCCTCCGCAGGAAGAACAGGTCCCACGACGCCTCTTCTTCGATTAATAGTTCTTCTCTTCCTCCTCCATAGGAAGATTAATATCAGCAACACTATTAGGAAGATAACAACACTCCCACCAATAACACTGCCTAAGATAACACCATTCCTGTTGCTCTTCTTCGATGATACTTCTGCTATCGGATGTTCGGTAGGCTCGAGAAAGCCGAAAGTATCGAAAATGAGTCCCCTTGCAGAATAGAATGACGTACATACAGCCAACGTCCTCTGTCTAGACACATTTTGGAGGCAGTTACTCACGAAGGATACGTCGGTAGGAAGATAATCAGGAACGTTTCCTTCGAAGTAATTTCCCGACAGATCGATGACACTGAATCTCCTCAATATGGATGTAAGACTCCCATAAAAAGTATTCTGAGATACATTAAGAACAGCACCAGTAATGTTAAAACTCGAGCTATAATTTGGTAGCAATCCTGTAAAACTATTCCTAGACACATCAAGAAGCTGCAATCTAGACATTGACCACAACCCATCAGGGATTAAGCCAGTAAAGTTGTTATCTTTCAGATCCAAGGATTGCAACCGTGTTAACGTTCGAAACAAACCGTCACTCAATGAACCATCGAGCGAATTGCTCCAGAGTACCATACTTCGCAAGCTCGTTAATCCTCTCAACTCCAAAGGAAATGTTCCAGACAAAGAATTGACACTCAAGTCAAGGTCAAGTAAGCTAACAAGCCCTCCAAGTTGAGCTGGTATTGAAGAAGTCAACATGTTTTTCGAAAGGTTTAGATACCGAAGCTTCAATAGGCTCCCAACGCCCGGAGGGATCGACCCGGATAAGTAATTAGAAGAAAGATCAAGCCGAGATAGATGTCGAAGCGATGCAAGTGACGATGGAATAGAGCCAAATATAGAACAAGACCGTAGATCAAGCACTTGCAGCAAGCTGAGATGATGTCCAAACCACTGAGGAATGACACCAGGAAGAATGAAGTTAGAAGCATTAAAGGACTGCAAAAGGGTCAAATTAGCCAAAGGTTCCACAGAAAATTGAGGGTTCTTCCTACCAATACTTGTTCTTCTAAAGCCACCAATATTGATATCAGTTACTCTACCATTCATACACTTGATACCCTTCCAGCCTATGCAAGGGTGAATCTTTATAGGCCACTCCTTGGTTCTCAAACCCAACGACGACCTGAGCTCGAGTAACGCAGCTCGTTCGGCCCGGGAAGAACTCGGTGAATCTTGTTGTTGGAATGTGGGCTCAAAGAACAACAAGAACAAGAATGCGAAGTGTATCATAAGTTGCTTATCATAAACCATTGTTCATAAACAAAATCCAACACTGAAATCCTACAAATTCCCATCCCTCTCTCACAGTTTTCTATAACTTAACTCCCAAAATTCCATTATGTTCTTCCCCTGTTCCCCAAAAATCCACTTTGTTCTTCAATTTCTCTGATTTACAGAGATGGGTATCAAAGAAAAACAAAAACCCACCAAGAAAAACAGAGAAATGACAGTAACATAACAATTTTAGAGAGAGATAGAGAGAAAGAGGAATGTAAATTAGTGAAATAAGAGAGTGGTTATCACTTTCTCTCCCTCTTTCCCAACAGCCAAGCCGGAAACTTGGTGTATCCGCCACCGTCCACGGCGGGTTTCGCCGGAAACTTGGTGGCTTTGAAACGCCGGCACTGGAATCCGAAAACTAAGCTCCAACTTCTGCGGCTGTTCACGGCGGAGGGGAGGAAAAACAGGGGATTTGGAAGTGGGGTTTGTATGTTTTGGGAGATTTGCGTGTGCCTAGAAAAATTGCAACTTTATTTAAAAAAAATTTGTTGGCAATTTGAAGATGGTGACGAGAAAAAGGGGTTGTGATCATTTGAGAGGTCAAAGCATTAAATTATGAACCTTAAAGTCAGCATTTTTGTTCAAATGGAGCTAACTACAACAATCACCCTTAGAACATGGAGGGATTGATCAATCTAGTTAATTATGTTTGGATAGATCATGTCTTAAAGTTTATATATATATATATATATATATATATATTTTTGTTTAAAATTATTTAATACTGAAATATAATTTGTTTGACGTAAGACTGAAAAATTAAAATTAAATTTATAATGTTTGAATAATTTTTTTTTATATTTGAAGTGATATATAAATGAGGAAGATTAAAAAAAATTAGATATTTTTTTTTGGTAGTTTTTTTGAAATGTTTTAGAAAAATAAATTGAGAAATGAAAAATTATGTGTGAGTTAAAACTTATATTTCAAATAAAAACTAAATTAATAAAAATATTCTAAAATTTTTTATTTTTTAGTATTGTGTTTAAAATACCGTTGAACTTTTAAATTTTTAATAATTTAAAAAATACCATTTATTAATATTTATACGTCTGTCTACACGTTAATGAAACATTAACATTTGGAAGATCAATAATATTTTTAAAACACTTTTTTAAGTTAGAGTATGATTTTCAACTTTTAAAAATTTTAAAAGTAATTTTTTAAACAAATATAAAATTTTATTAATTTAGCTTAAATAAAAAATAAAAAAAATCAAACAAATGAAGGAAGTGAGAACTATGATGATATGAGGCTTAATCTCGAGGGAGGGTGCCTTAATCATTACCAAATGACTCCAACTTTTCCAATAAAAAAAATAATAATTACCTTTTTCTTCAAATATATATATTATCCAATAATTTTAAGAATTTAATAATTCATACCACATGACTTTCCAAAAAAAATCAAGATTTTAATTTTATACTTTATGGGTAGATAATATCATATCATTGTGAGAATCCATTGTTCATATCAGTGGTATTAAAGTCATGTCTTTATCTTAACTTAGTCATGTCAGTAGAACTCTCCAGTGTTAAACAAAAAAGTTGTGAGCCTCAAAAGTGTAGTCATTGTAAAGATATGTGGTATTCTAGAGAAGAGGAGTCGTCTAGATAATGCTAGACAACATATAAATATGAATATTTACGAGGAAACTCAACGGTTTACTTTGTACCTGGGAGGATTGTTGGAGTTTCAAATTGGCTAATTAAGAGGAAAATCATGGGTATATAAACAAGAGACACTATCTT